CAGGACTCACACGCCCCCACTGCAAGCGCGGTGGCGGATACATCTGGGCGATGACCGTCCTCACCGCTTTCAACATTTACTTCTTCTGCGTGATCCGTGCACGGGGCCGCATGCCCAGCCACGCGGCGGCGAGCTTTGAGGCGCGGACAGGGGCGTGCAGGTGAAGGGCAGGCCGCGGTCCGTACGGAGCGCGCGTCCGGGCGCTGTTGCCTCGCGAGCGCCGAACGAGCAGAGCATGGAATCGGCAGGAGGAGATTCTCATGGGGGGGGAGGAGGGGGGAGGCGCAGGTGGAGGTGGGGGAGTGCGGAGTACACAGAACGTGGCGAAGCAACCGATTCTCGCCCTCCCGCTTGAGTCAGTTGCTCCGCCACGTTCCGTTTTGCTCATCGGTGCCTTGGAGTTCTACTTCGGCTCCTCCTCTCCCTCCTCTTTCCTCGTCCGTCCTCCTCCGTTTCTCCCGTTCTACCTCCTTGCTCAATGGTGCGGCGTCCCCTCGTGCTCACCTTTATCCATCTTTTGTGTGCTGTCATTTCATCATCGTCGGCGTTCTCGTCCTCTCTTGTTCCCCCGGCTACTCCGTATCCTCCTCCTCATCCGTCTGCCCGTCATCCTCCATTTTTTCTTTTGCCCTCCATTCTGTTGTGATCCATCTCCCCCCTTTCTGCTTTGTCCACCTGCGCGTATTCCGCGCTCTTCTTTCCTACCCCTGCTGTTTCATTTCCTCTTTCTCCGCTGTTCTCGTCCAGCTGCTTTCGTTTTAAGCTTTCTCGCAGTTTCAAGGAGTGGTATGGTTGAGATCCCGGGAATGGCGTTCTGGCACGGTTTCGGAGTGGCGGGACGCAGTACTCGTTTTGATTTGCGATGTTGAAGTCCCAGGAGAGGTATTTTGGCACGGCTTGGGATACTCCAGAGGCAGCAGTAACGCGCTGATCCACGGTGTCGAAGTTCGGGCGGTTAAGAGTTCTCAGACGGTTACTTTTCAATGGGGTGTTTCCCGCAAGATCTTCAGCTTCCAGGCCCCCGACACGAAGTGACAGATATTAAGACATTCTCAGCCGGAGCCTGAATGCGACTAAGCCAGCGAAGCGAAGGCTCGTGGGTGGTCGGTGCAGCGGAGCTCCGAGGCTCGATTGTTTCTTGATCTCCATATCTTTCCTTCGTCTCATCCGCACGGGCATTCTTGCCACCCGCACCGTTCACATTATCCTCATCATCTTCACCCTGTCTGAGACAGTTGCTTTATTTCTTGGCCCTGGGGGGAGGGGAGGGGGGGCTGGTCACCTCACGATTCGCGACGGCGCTGGCGCCCTTTTTTGGGGGGATGCTTGCAAGTGGCTCGATCCCAGACGGCCGCACATCGTGACGTGACCAGGGGGGGGGGGCCCGTCACGGGCGCTAGCGCGAATAGCACGACGGATGGCTTCTCTCCGGCGTGTTCGGTCCCACTCCCTCCTCCCTCTGGCAGCGCTTTCTGCCCTGCTCCGTCTCCCCCTCCCGCCTCCCTCCTCCACCTCATCCCCCGCACCCCATCCTCACGCGTCACGCAGTCCTCCGGCCGCCCACAGGGCTCCCCTCGTCCTCCCTCTGTCATGTCCCCTGTTGATGATGCCACGGCGAGGGCATTTTCTGCCGTGCCAGACGCCTTGATCTCCCGCCCTCCGGCTCCCCCACATCATGATCTGATGAAGCGTCTTCTCTGGACGCCCGAAATGGGTACGGAAAGAATGGGTACAATGCCCAACAGCATTTCCTGCCCATTTTGAACAGGACTCGCTGCCCACGCCGCCGCGGCCTGTGTCCATTCGAGACAGACGGCCGCCTGCCCAGCAGCGGCCGCTGTTGGTTCGGGACAACGTTTGCTGTTGGGCATTGTGCCTATTTTTTCCGTACCCATTTCGGGCGTCCAAATCTTTCCCTCCGTACACCTCCTCGGTCCTGTTCCTTCCCTCCCTCCCTCCGTCTGCCTCCTCGTTCGGCGCGCACTGCGGGTGCCGAGGAGGTGCGCGAGCCCAGATATGCAGCGAGTGCTGCAACAGGAACTCACCCAGGAGGGCGAGTGCTGCTCAGAACCTGGGGGTAGTTTTAGGGGGCCACGTGCGAACCCTACCCCTACCCCCCACGATTTCTGAGGGGGAGGGTGGGGTTCACTCCGCTTGGGAGCTCCCGAGCGAAGTGAACCCCACCCTCCCCCTCAGACATCGTGGGGAGACTGAGTGCTAGACAACTATCATTTCAGGAGGGCGCGCCCCCCTTCACAGTTATTGGGCTCTCACTTCGACCTCGGCCTGATTGCTTGCTGGGTCCCAGGCTTCCCACAGCGGGAGCAGTAGACGACAGGGAACCCAGACCCCACGCGCCAAGGGACGCAGCGTCGATGCCCGAAACGGCCAGGCTGCCTCAGGACACACACGAACCCTAAACCCTAAACCCTAAACCCTAGGGAGGGGCTCAGGGTGTGCCATTGGGTCAGCGTGAGCGCAGAAGCAGTACGGAGACGGCAGCTGCATCTGCAGTGATCGATGCGCCAGCAGGGGATGTGTGGCGACGCTTGAGGCCTGACGACGCAGGGTCTCACACGGCGCTTACCCAGCTCCCCTCCTCCTCCTCCTCCTCCTCCTCCTCCTCCTCCTCCTCCTCCTCCTCCTCCTCCTCCTCCTCCTCCTCCCTCCTCCCTCCTCCCTCCTCCCTCCTCCCTCCTCCCTCCACCTGACGGTGGAAGTCCAAGGGCCATGGCATTTCCTGACCCCAAGGTGGAAGACACAGTATCAGAAGACGTGGCAAGCAGCACGTCCATGTGCCATACGACGGTGACGCGTGCTCCGAGGTATGCCTGAGGCCGGCGTGGCGCGAGCTGCGGGGAAAGTTCCATGGGGGCTTCTGGTATATCATAAATGTATACATAATATATATATATATATGTGTATATATTTGTGTGTATACATACATCTCTCTCTCTCTCTCTCCCTCCCTTTGCCTCCTCCGCCTGCAATTGGCACATGGGGTTCCCCGTGCATTAGGAGCTGCTGGTGGGCAGTTGCCCCCCTTCGTCCTGTGAGTCGCCCCACCGGGAGCCGTTCTTGGCCCGCGCTGTCGCCGTCGCTGGCGAATCTCCGTGCGACCCTGCCGCACCAATACAACGTAGCTTGGTGGTAGCTTATACTTGGCGTGTGATCTTCACCCAGATACCTCGCGCCGTGATTCGGTGCAGTGCTTCTATAGGGGTGTTGCGTTCGCTTCCGCCCTCTCCCTTCCTTTGTCTGCTCCTCCCCTCTCCTCCCCTTCCTGCTTCCACCTCCCGTGCGATAGAAATCCAGGCCTTTGCTCTATCTGCCTGTAGTGTGCGTTCTCCTTCTTATAGTCGCTGTTTGATGCCCAGTATGTTCGATGGTCGTTTGGACCATGAGGGGATGCACACACACAGCGCCATTGTCAGTCCCCTCGCCTCGCGTTTGTTTTTCCTCTTCCGCCTCTTCCTCCTTCTTCCCTTCTGCGTCCTTCCCTCCACTTGTCCACAACATCGTGCTTGATTTACGGCAGTGGCCGTCTGGGCCATGCGGTAGGGGTTGCGACACAATGCTGGCAATTGTGGCTCGATTTTGTTGTCCGCAATTTCGTATCAGCCGCCATCTGCTCTCTTGCTCAGCGTGTTCCCCGAGTCATGGGCTACTGCAAATGTTTGTGTTCCTTGCCTTGCGGTCGCACTCGCTCAAGCTGTGCATTTGAGATAATCCCCTTCGGGAGCAGGGGCTTTCTCCGTCTCCTCTGCTTGGATGTTGGGGGATGCGAAGAAACCAACCATATGCAGTAGTTGTGCGTAGCGCAGTTGTGAGTAGCCTCTTCGGTGGGACCCGTTCGGGGGGCACGAAACGTGTGAGGAGTGTGCCGAAAGGGGTGCGGCGGCGCCATGCGAACGCATCCAGCGCGGCGGTGCCATGCGAACGCAGCCACTAGGACCTTTGGTGGAGCTCACTTTGGGGTCACGAAACGTGTGAGGGTGTGCCGAAACGGGTGCGGCGGCTTTGCAAACGCAGCCATTGGGGTCTTCGGTGAGTCGGTGGGGCTCCCTCTTGAGCCACGGAGCGTGTGAAGGCTGTGCCGAAACAGGTGCGGTGGTGCCATGCGAACGTAATCATTGGGGCCTTCCGTGGGGCTCCCACTGGGGCCCCGAAACGAGTGAGGGGTGTGCCGAAACAGGTGCGGCGGTCCCATGCGAACGCAACCATTGGGGACTTCGGTGGGGCTTCTCATGGGGCCACAGCGTGTGAGGGGTGTGCCGACACGGGGGAGGCGGCGCCATGGGCCTTCGGTGGGGCTCCCATTGGGGCCACGAAGCGTGTGAGGATGTTCCGGGAGGTGCTCGGTGGTGCGATTTGAAGTCAGCCACGGGGGCGTTCGGTGGAGCTCCATCTGGGGCCACGAAACGTGTGATGGGTGTGCCAACAGGAGCTCCATCTGGGGCCACGAAACGTGTGATGGGTGTGCCAACATACTTGATTGGTCAGGAGGGCAGCTGCAAGGATGGGAGGACGGAGGAGGGGGGAGGAATGAGGGAGGAAGGCAGGGCGCTGTTTCTTCAAACCGAGGATCCAACACCACAGGATGATTGGGGAAAAGCGTGGCATCGAATTCGTGCGTTTGTGTCCCAAGTCCTGGGAGCTATTCCGCACCTGCTGTGTTTCCTAGGATGTGTCGACGGTCAGCCTCACACGCGGCCGATCGTTCAAAGTGGTGGGCTTTCGCTCTTCGCACCGCAGCCAAGTCCGCGGCAAGCGGATTCGGAGCTTGGTCGCCGCCTTTCCTTCTCTCCCCCCTTCCCGCACTCCGCCTTATCCTCTCGTTCCCCTGCCACTCATCGTCCTCTGTCCGGCTCCTGCTCTTTCTTTCCCTCCGCCTCCTGCCATGATCTTCTCCTCGTCCTCTGTATTCGCATCCGCCGCGTCGTCGTCGTCGTTGTCGCCCGCGCCGCCAGCCACCCATTGAACAGCGGCTCCGCGCGGAGGCATCCCTGGCTTCCGTCCTGCTGAGGGACCTCTCGCGCACGAAGCTGCTGACCGCAGGCCGTCTTGGCCGTGGTTGTGGCCGTCGTCGTCGCCGAGGTCGTGCTCTTGACTGTCGCCATCGTCGTAGTCGTGGTCGTCGTTGCCGCCGTCGTGGTAATCACTGTCGCCTCGGCAGAAGTTGGTCAGCGGGGGTCCGCCCGGTTTTCCAAGCCGCGGCCGGCTGTGGCGACGCAGGACCTGACGAAACATGCCCACAGCCTCCAGAACGACGTCATCGTTGTCGCCGTCACCGTCGTCACTGGAAGTCTCCAGAGGTCCCCGCGGTGACCCCTTGAGGAACCAGCACGCGACAAAGGGTTAGATCCTCGACGTCGATCGTCTTCCTCGTCGATCGCCGTCGGTCGTCTACGTCGGTCGATCGTCGTCGTCGGTCAGGGAGTGTCCCAGCAGCGCGGGTCCGAAGCGGCTCTCATCGCTGCTGGTCCTTGCTGGGTCCGGAAGAGTTCTCTCTCCCTGCGTTGCCTTAGGCCTGGTGTCCGATCCGGGGGGGGGGGGCGGAATGGCGGGTTCCTCCTCCTCCTCCTCCTCCTCCTCCTCCTCCTCCTCCTCCTCGTTTTCCTCCCCCTACTCCTCGTCGTCGTCGTCGTCGTCATCCTCCTCCCTCACAGCCATTTTGCGCCCGAGCGCCTTCTCGCCTGCAGTCGGCTGCGCGGTTGTTTGTTGCGCCGACTTCAGGGTGGCCCCGCGTACCAAAGTCTTCGCAGCAGGGACAGGGCAAGAAGTGGAAGTGCGGACATTGCGCATCCATCAAAGGCGCAAGCTATGATTTCTGTTGGGAAATGCTGGGGGACGAGACCTACTGCTGCAGGTGAACAGTCAAAGTCCAGCATAGCGACTGGAGGAGGCCACCAAGACCTGTCCGACGAGCAGCACGCCCAGATACAGCACCTGCGCGCCAAGCTGGCAGAGCTCAAGAAACTCGCCGAGGACCCGATCATGGAAGACCCCCCCACGCCACAGGCGGACGCGCTCCAGGAACGCGTCGACCAAGCTCAGGCGACACTGGGAACCAAGGTATTGCGCTGCTTCACCCAGCGCCGCGTGGTGAGGGACCGCCAGCGGGTTGCGGAGCACCGCCACCGCCACAAGCGCAAAACAGAGTGGCGCAGTTGCAGGCCGAGTTGGCAGAGACACATGAGAAGCTTGAAACGGAGAGCGCCGACCTCGGGCGCTTCGAAAAGAAATTGGATACCCACACCCAGAAGATCAGCGAACTGTCAGTCCCAGCACCTGGTAGACGCTGCGGAGCGGCGGTGGCCTTCTTGGAGTCAGCGTCCAAGTGCTTGGCGGAGGGTCCCAGCGCGGCGGACGATCCTAAATTCAAGGACGCCCTCGCGCAGCAGCACACCGCCGAGAAGGAGCGGATCGCGCAGACTGGGGCGGCCAAGAAGGAGGAGGTTGAAGCAGCCGCTGCCCACACGAAGGGGGCCAAAGAGACGGACCAGGCCGGCTGCCATAGCGAGGGCAAGCGGCACCAATTGGTGGCCGAGTCCAAAAAGGAATACCTCCTGGGAGTTGAGGCCCTCAGCACGGAGGAAACCATCGCCGAGGTGCTTACCAAGGGTGGCGCCACTCCTGCGTTGCTTGCTAAGTTTTCTGATCATGTAAAGCTGCTGTGTGGCGGCTTCGAGTTGGGCCACACCGTCACCGTCAGCACGGCTCAGTGGATCCCAAACAGACGGTAGCACAGTGAAGGGCGCGAAGCAGTCTTTGTACACGGTGAACGCCAACTGGGCGGGCACCCTCGCACGCATCATGAGCGACATCCACAAGGTCACTCTTGCGCCCATCAGCACGATTGACGAAATTCAAGCGAGCAAGGAGACGCTTGACATGTGCGCTGTAGGCATGATTAAGCGGGACAGGGTACTTGGGCTCGTGCCAAGCGACGGCGCGAACATCGTTTGGAGTGTTCGGGGCCTCCACTGCGCCAGGAGAGGCATCAGCATGTGGAACATCTTCCCGCCAGGCATCAGAGGAATCTCATTCGCCGCGGCATGGCTGAACGCGCTCAACGTCTCTGGCGAACGGAAGGCATGACGCGCCGCAACGAGCTGATCCTACAAGAGGGGGTCAGTAAGATTACCGCGGCCAGGTACGACTGGATCCTAGGCGGCGGCTTCGACATGGAGCCAGCTAGCTACCTTGGGTGTCCCGAAGTTGCTGAGCAAGATGGACGAATATTTCATGCACGGCCAGCAGAAGAGCACATGCGAGCGAAGAGACGGGACTCGCTCAATCATTGAAAAGCCCACTTGATACAGACGCCAAATTGTCGGGCCCGTGGAAGCGAAGGTAAAGGAGGGCTTCAATCATAGGCCGGACGCGCTAGTAAAGCTCACCATGAACAAGCAGACCCGCGAGAGCACTTCGCGCAGCAGAAGCCCCAAAGGTGGCCGCTGACGTTGCCCGCGGGCTGCCCAGGACCACCAACGACATGGCCGAGATCGCTGGCAAGGCGGAGGCACTTCGGACAAGCGGACAACGGCAAGTTCTGGAGCGAGCTGGGCCTGGCATGCGAGGCCCTGCCCAACTGCTTTTTTTGATTGCGAGGGTGGTGATTTTACCGAGAGGACGAGCCACTTCGAGCCCGCCAAGTAGAAGTGGGCCGTTACCGAGGTGCACCCGCCCAGGGTGATATCCGGGCACCAGGTCTGGGGCGAGGGCGCCGAATGGCTGGCGCGCGCGGTGAGATGCATCCACGGGCTGACGGGGCCCTGGAGGATGGAGGCGAACGCTGAGGTGACGGACCAGGCTGCGTGGCTCGCGCGGACAACCTCGAGTCGCGCCACCAACATGTCGCGGACGCACGAGAAGGCGGCGCCGAAGGACGACGACGACTGGACTACTGCAGCTCGGCCAGGCGGGGATAAGCCACGCATCCCCGCTGCGCAGCTGCCGGCGCCAGAGGGCCCCTGGCTTCCCGTTGGCGGGGGCGGCAGCGGCAGCTCGCCGCCTCGCGGCTAGAGCGCCGCCCCCGACGGGCCAACGGTCGACGCGGGGCGCCGCGAGGTGGCCCGAGCTGGCGACCGGTCGGCAGCGTCGACGTCGGCATCGTGAATGTAGATGCATTGCGTCGATTGGATCGCGACCCCGCTGGGCTTGACCAATCTCGGCGCAGTTGGCGGGCGAAGCAGCGGGCCTCGATGGCGAGCTGGAGGCGGCCGATCCACGCCGGCGGCCAGAAGGGCGCCGAAGGGCGCCGGGGCCCGACGCCGCTGGGCCAAGCTGCCCGCGACGCGGGCGCCGCGAGCCGCGGCTGCCGAGGCCGGCCAGGACGAGCGCAAGTTGGTGCGCCCTCAGGATACTGCCGACGACGCCCTGGCAGGATGGGGGGAGATCCAAGGAGTTGAGCTCGGCGCGCACGTGCCCTGGATGGGGCCCCTAAGAAGGACATGGAGATGGGGGAGTACCGCCCGCCGACCGTCACCCTCGGCGGGCGATCAACAGCTGCGGGCGCCTCCGCGCAAAGACGAGCCATGGGGCGTCGGACTGGCACGCGAGTCTGGGGTAGCACAGAGAGCGTCAAGGTGCAGCGCGCGTGGCAAGCGCGTTGAACGCCGCAAAGGCTGGCGCGCCATGGCCGGCCGTTCGGGCCACTATCGTGTTCTTCGTTCCTGCCGAGCCCGCTGCCGGATGCAGGACCTTGGGCCCGCTGCCCGAGCTGTCGCTGTCGCGGTGGGCCATCCGCGCGCCGCGCGCGCTGCGGTGGAAGCACGCGCAAGGGCAAGCCGATAATTCGGTGGCCAACGGCAGATCAAGCGAGATGGCCGCCCAGGCACAGGCGCCGCACTGCAAGGCCACAGTAGCCAGTAGCCCAGGGCCCCGAGTACGCGGTGACGCACGCCATGGCGCGGCAGTCGGGCATGCGCTGGGGCTTCAATCGTCATCGTGAGGATCTGCGCCATGGCGAGGCGCATTGCGTTGGGCGGGAGCTGCGCCGTTGGTAGGCGCTGGGCAGAGGCATCGTGGCGGGTAGCCGTTTGCTTTTTTTGCTTCAAGGTGGCCATATTTTCGGAGATGGGTGGGACGGTGGCGGCCTTCCCCCGGGCCGACGCGCGCGTCTTCTCCGACGACCTCGCTGCGGTGACGAAGGGGGCCAGAGGCATGGTCAGTCATTGGCGCCGAGGTCCTCGTCCAGACGCCCATCAACACGTTCAAAGTTACCTCGGACATGGTGGCGTCCTAGAGCGAGCAGGGCAAGAAGGTCAATCTGGCCTCGGCTACCCTGTCGGTCGGGACATTGCTGCAGGGCAACACCACAGGCAAATCCACGTTCCCCGCCCCACTGGCGGATGGCGCGGGCCCTGGCACGAGGGCCAACGATTCGCCGATCCTGGCTTTGGCGCAGGCGTGGCACGAGACCCGCAGCCAGCCTGCGCTCGCCCACGAGCTGCAAGCGGCCCGGAAGAAGTGGGCGCTGCGAGTGGGGCGCGCCAATTCCCCGCGGCGGCAAGTGAGGGGCCCCGTGGGGGCCGCTTGCGGCGACGGGGCCGAACAGGGCATCGAGGACGCGCAATCGGTTGGCGAAGTGGGGCGGGAGATTAGGCGCGCAATCTTTGTTCGCGGAGCCAGCGCGCGCCCTCGGGCGCCCCCTCCGCCAGCGTTGGACCCAGGCGCGCCGGGGGCGTCCGCAATTTCGCCCCTGCCACAGGGCGCGGCGGACGATGGCATATGTCATGGGCGCCGCGGAGCACGAGGGACCGATCGGTATCGGACTTTCGCGCTCAAGGCGCACAGGCCCGAGGTTGGCGGGCTCCACATCGCGCGGCGGGGCGCCGGCCCGTGGCCGGATACGGGACAGCTATTGGGCAGGGGTCTCGCGAACGACTCAGCGGCGGGGCTGGGGGCGCGGGGGCCGCCTTCCATGGGCGCCCTCGCGGCCCGCGGCAACTGCGAGGACTCTGTCGCGGGCGACGTCTACGCCGACTGCAGCTTC